TTTAAAAAGTGTCCTTTGTAATACAACATCAAGTTTGCCATCGTCACCATGTTAGTCACCTCTTACAACAAGCATGGGTTGCTGAAGACCAATTCTAACCCCGGATCTTCACAGGTCTCTAATATCACTGCTTCCATACACAAATTCATAAATTTCATTCCTACGTCTCATTATTTCAATGGGAGCATGGGTGGTTGGGGAAGCCCAGTCATCTAAGCCACTGTGCAGAGTTACTTACCTTGGGGTGTATAATCCTACTTCACTATTATGTTTCTTGGCTTGTCAGCACCATGGCGGTACTCATGGGTTTCAGCCAACTTCTCAGACCAGCTTCCCTGTGACATAAATAATAATAATATTCCATTTATCATGCGCCTTTCTCTACACAATGCATGTTCGAATCATTATTACCCCAGATAACCCAAGCTGCCTGTGAGGTACTTGAAGGTTAGTGGTTACATGCCTTATCCCACCGGGTACCCATTTTCTGCTGGATGAAGAGAGTTTAACAAACTCACTCGCCTAAGGTGAGACCACATGTGTCATGTGCTTCGTTGTGGGGCAGACTGAAGTCCTAGAAACTCTCAGGAGTCATGCTGCCAAACACAGTCACCCATCCAAGGACTCTCCACCCCCATCGTTGCTTAACTTCACCTGATTTGTGACCTGAGCACTATGCACATGCCCACACGCCACCACATTAAACAGACATGCAGTCATACAACTGTAAACTCAGCTAACTCAGTCTCTCTCACTCGCTCACTCTATATTTCTGGAAGAGCCAAATGTAGCTGTGTAAATATTGTGTATTTTAAACCTAAGTATATAATATAGTTAAGCAATATAACAACCTTTTGAATTAACACAGCACTCTACTAATCCTTAGGTTAAGTTATGTAAGCCTGCATGGGGTTCTATTTTTCTTCAGACTCCTGGGCCTAGATTTTCGAAGCTCTCTTAGCGCTAAGACAGTCGTAAGTGCCATACATTAACATTAACTTACGACTATCTTAGCGCTAAGAGAGCTTCGAAAATCTAGGCCCTGGTCCAGCCAACGGCTTGGCCAGTGATTGGTTTGCTATTGTTTCTAGAGCATGTGACCAGATCTGGATCTTTATGTACCCCAACATTCTTTTTCCTGGTCACTGCTACAATTTCAACTCTTGACTGCTACAATTTCAACTCTTGACTGCAACAATTTCAACTCTGTCTCCTTTATCACAGCACTGCACTTATTGGGGTAAGTTACTTTAGATGTCTTTGTATGTATATTATCATAAGGAGGTTAGGATATGATGTTTTAGTCTAGTTAGTTTCATCATTTTAATCATTTGTCTGAAATATATTATGTGTTGTTATATCATCTACATGCTAATATGATGTAAATATTTTATATGCTTAATATCATGACACACTGTTAGGTATTATGATTATTATACGTTTGGTTAATGTAGACTATAGTGTATACATTGTAGATTAGGTACATATTATGGATGACATGAGAAAGAGTGCGTGTGTGTGTGTAATATAGATTATATTTAATTGTGTTATTTTATTATTAGGTCTTTGAAGCACTTATTTGCCACTGGTGGTTTAGACTGTGGATTACCTGCATCCCTGAGACGAGGTTAGTAATTGCATGGGTTATGTTCTCAATGTTGTTACATATCAGATTTTCATCTGTATGTCTGTAATTTGTAAGATAGGCTTATATTTATACTTAGATTGAGTAACCCTTGTGATGTACAGAAAATGTTAAATATAATTATGTTTACTATGTACTTGTTGCTGTATACCAGTAATTTGAGATGTTTATGTCTTGTTTCAGGGTTTTATCACCTGATCCATCCAAGACAATAAATCCCTGAACCCTTTACAAGTATTCGTCTGTGTTCAATCTTGACGTGATACCGCTAGCTGTTACACAAACATGTATTGAGTTTGTTTCTCCAGGACATCCAGGACATGTTCATATTTCATGGTGATGCTTTGAAGTCATAAGGCATCCAGTTGTGTAAAATTTGTCATTATCTGCTTGAGTCATTTACACTGTCATTGTCAACCAACAAACATAAGGGCAAGATTATATATTTCTGTTTCTAATTGCCCAACTGTAATTTGGCAGCTGATTCGAATATGTTTTGTTTTGGTCTTTTTTGCTCGAACTCAGGATCTACTACTGACTGCTCATTCAATTCCTTCCTGTGTCAGTGCTTGAATGAAGGCGGTATGTAGAGGACATATGAAACTTCACAAGAAAGCTAAGTGCTTGGTATTAACATTCTTTTTTATTTACATTTAATTTTTTATTATATTTAATATATTAAAGAGTACAGAAACTTTAAATGGCCGAGGTGTCTAACTTGGGGACAGTAACATGTGATTCAGTCTATTTTGATGTTCTCTGCTGCTTTTCTTTGTTGTTCTCAGCACCTTTGGCTTGCACTGCAATCCTTATTACAGATTCAAAACCTGCAAATTCAACAACAAATAATTTTCAGTTATCAAGAAAAGTAAGTATGCTTTTGAGTATATATCAATTAATCTGTATGCAAATCTTCAAAGTCTGCCAGCCTAAAGATTTCTTCAAGCATAATTCTTCAGAAGATGTAAGCATGATTCCGAAAATAGAACGCTGAGGATAGTTGGTAATAAATAACAGTTCTCATTAAAATCCTGTTAAGACATGGGTACCACAATGTTCCATCCTGTGCCCACTTTTCTACATTATCAATATAACAATATAATGAACAGTTTCAGCATGACATTCATATGGCACTGAGTAACTCTGTAGCTTATTAACATTGAATTCTATATTCAAAACGGCAGCTGCACAACGGGAAAAAAATTGATTGACACCAGGGTTTTACTTTGTGCAGAAATGTGCATCCAGTATGCACAAATGTATACGACAGAGTGAGTGAGTTGGGTTTTACGCTGCTTATATTCAAGCAATATCACGGCAGGGGTATGCTACAGAGGGAGAAATAAATATTGATGCAGCGTCATATGGGACACACAGTAATATTCACCCTTGCAAAATCTCAACAAGAAATAAGAAGTTCTGTTTACATCTCCCAGTACAGTAGACTACACTACTGTATTTGTTGAAAACATAACCAATGAAGGTCCGGGTAAGAACTGGTCTTCAGCAACCCATGACATGTGTCAACATAACCCCATTGGGCAGGCCGATGCTCATGGTGTTGATCACTGGATTGTCTGGTCCAGACTCGATTATTTACAGACTGAAGCCATATAGCTGGAATAGTTCTGATTGCAGCGTAAAATAACAAACAAACAAAATGAGAAAACCCTTGTATTGGAATTAGTAATCAGGGTAATCTGGCCCCTTAGTTTTGTGAGTGAGTATGGTTTTACGCCGCTTTTAGCAATATTCCAGCAATATCACGGCGGGGAACACCAGAAATGGGCTTCACACATTGTACCCATGTGGGGAATCGAACCCGGGTGTTCGGCATGACAAGCGAACGCTTTAACCACTTGGCTACCCCACCACCCCCCTTAGTTTTGTGGGGCAAGGTAAAACCCTGTGACACTTTAAGAGGCAGGAAATAGTTTTACTGAGATTGGTACAGGTTCAATCACAGGAGTACATGGCACCATAAGATTTCTCAACCCCAGAAAACAGCATCTGCATCATCAAGCTGATCCTTGTGAAATGGAACTGGATGCTTTCAAGACCAAGCCAACTACATGTGAAGACCAATACAAGACAAAGCCCTACCCTCTATGGAAAAGAAGTACTTTATTAGATGTTATGGCAATGTTAACGCTGTTCCAGACAGGCTGTGAAGAGAGATACCTTCTTTCTAGGTGATGAACACTACCTACGCCACACAGCCATTCCACAGCTACTTTGATTATGATTGTCCATATTTGATGCATATGAAACATCTGTCACACCATGAAGTACTATATATCAATATACATTGTTATTATTATTATATTATAGGATATTTATATAGTGCACATATCCACGGAACTGGTGCATGCTCAAGGTGCTGGTATTTTTCCCTCGATCATTGGATATCAATCTCGACGGCACATCGTATTATCAATCTCAACTCCCCGGGGAGTATACAACTCTTGCTGCCACTAGGCTCATCCTTGTTCATTTGTATGTACATATACTTATATACAATCGCAACATAGCTGCTGACCAACACTTTCTTGTTCTTATCACTTATGTGGGCAATAGGGTAGCCCAGTGGTTAAAGCTAGTGTTTGTGATGTGATGTCAAAGATTTTCAGGGTTTAATTCCATTCATGGGTACAAGGTGTGAAAACCCTTTTTGGTGTCCCTGCCATGATATTACTAGAATATTGCTAAAAGTGGAGTAACAACTTACTCAGCTCTTACTTATGCCTGTTAAAGTGACAGATTGCATAATGTACAAACCACTCAATTATCCACATTCTTTGTTAAACCATTCTCAGTGACACAGATTTGAACACATTGTTTCACCAACATCTTTTGATCCCATTGTTGATGGAAAAGGTACATCTCTTCATGTTTCTGTTTGCAAAATCCTCTTTGTGTGACAATATGTTTTGGTCTCCTGTATGAAATTTAATTAATTAATAACATTTTTAAAAAAAGGTAGAAATATCAATTTGCAAATTTCGTTTTACCAAATGTAATGAATATTATGAAGAGCAAATCACAAAAATATATCAAATCGAGACAAAATGAATTTTGATATGCTTGATCTACTGCATTTATTTGTTTCCTAGGACTAAACATCTGGTTTTATAAATCACCAAAAGTTATTTTTATTATTGAGCATTATCAAACCCTTTGTAGTCCATATTACAAATGTATTAACACATTGAGATTCACAATATAACACTACTGCATAGGGAATGACATTCCGGAACGTTACTCTAGATCTATTATAAGAAGATTTAACCCAACAAGCACCTGTCAAACTCACGTGTCGTCTGCTACATCTCTATCATCTGCGCATGCGTGATATCTTAATCACCTGACATCCTGTCTGCAACAGCACAAGACGGCGAAATACTTTGACAGCTACGAGAAAACAGTCCGCCAACAAAATCACCATGACGAAAGGGCAGTACCAATCGTCGCTATCTACAGCACCAATTGTGACATGCATGAAGACACTTTTGATGGTGTTTAATTTCATCTTCTGGGTAAGAGCTTTCCTCCATCGTCAGGACACTGTCGTAGAATTTCTCTGCCCTGAAATGACGGCAGAGCTAACGTGACACAGCATAAGTAATTATGTTAATGACTGCTGCTTGTGAAGAATTTATACTTATACTCCCATAATCGATTGCTTATTGTGCGGTTGTGTTATTTATGGAATTATATATAAAATTAAGAGGAATAATTAGATTCGGTCGTAACGCAAGCTGTACATCGTCAGCTGTTGATATAGGCTTGTACAGTGATAATTACCACGCCATACATAGGCTTTTATTCATATGACGGAATATCAGTATCGGTTATTGAAATAACCGTGACAGGCATGATAAACATAAATCGTGTAACATATGTTAGATTCATTTGTGGTTTACTAGAATTTGAGTATCACTATCTGTATCTAATTTGATTTATGAATATCAGTAATGCATGTCACACACCGCAGACATAAAGTACTTGGGAATACATTCAATTTTGCGAAGAAATGTATTACTATATGTAAACATGTAAGTTTGAGTAACATAATGTGTCGGTACCTGTCACTTGACATCATTTTCAGTAGATTTTAGTGTTAATGTACAGACTTCTTAGTACTATTAGTAAGTCTAATTGTTCTTGAGCTAATGGTTAAAAACATAAAGACATAGACTGATAATACAGCTTAGTTTGTTTCAAATCCAGAAATCTATTTGTTTGTAAGCTTATTCAAATGAAATACATGTGTTTAAACAGTTGACAATGACCCACACTTGGACTGTCTCAGTTCACATGAATTTGCAACAGTATCATGATTTTGAGTTTAAAGTCGATGAATCCAAGTTATTTCTGATCAGCCTGATACTTAGAATGACGATTCTTACCAAAAAATCACCTGAGTGAGTTATTCATATCAGTGTTGTTAACCAGACTCTTATGATCTACTAATATATTTTGTGAGGGATGTATAACATTAGTGAACAGGTAATGTTCAGTGACCCAAAACATGCATACATATTTGTAAATATCATAGTAGTTTTCTTTTATAATCAGTACCTTCTATGATCAAAACAATGCACCTAATAATAGCAATAATAGAACATACATTTATAGAGCGCATCAATACATAATCATGAATTACACCAACTTTTCACAAGAAATATATTATTCACACCTGTTATGTTATTAAAGCTCTAAAAAAATTAACATGTATCACTGCTTATTTTCTTAATACCTTTAATTGCTTTCCTGAAGTGAATATTGCCTTTTCCAAGTAGATTTATAAACAAGTTAAAGGAGAGTATTTTTTAGTTTACATGAAATACATATGTCTTGACATCCAAACACTACTATTTTTATCTTCACTCTACTACATAAATAGTGAACTTTTCTGCTTTGAGATTGCTAATCTCCAGGTACTGGTATGCTTGCATATGCAGTGTTCATTGGTCGACCTCTCTTTCAGCTATTCTTAACTGTATATTTTACTGATCAGGATGAGTCAGAATCCAAACTATTTCACATTTTAAGTTTTCTCAAACCTGCCAGAACGCACCATAGTATTTCATGCATTAGTGAACCCTTACCAAAGACATATACCGGTAATAACACATTTTGATGTCAGTTGTCTGACAGTATTGGTAAACAACAATGGACTCTTTTAGATGTTGAGACCCTTTTTTGTCACTGTGTGTAATGTGAAAATCAACGGTATCCTTTATATGCTAACTTCTTTAGGCCCTGAAATCTCTGTAAAGGTTTACATCTGTCTAGTTTCCTTTGGTAAACATGGTAAATGACATGGTTGAAAATGTGAAAAATCCTATCGTCTGAACTGGTCAATATTAAAAAATATCTGTCTTGTCTCATTTGTTCTTGAGACCATTAGAACTTCTTGTATTTGAACAGCCTTCCTATCTACCATGTTTTAACATAAGTCTGCTGGTGTGCAGCGTGTATGTTTTCCAAAGGATCACTAAAGTTAAATGACTGACTGACTGACTGAGTTTGGTTTTACGCCGCTTTAACAATATTCCAGCAACATCACGGCGGGGGACACCAGAAATGGGCTTCACACAATGTACCCATGTGGGGATTTGAACCCGGGTCTTCGATGTGACGAGCCAACGCTTTAACCACTAGGCTACCCCACCGCCCTAAAGTTAAATGAGTTATGGTCAGGTATTGAAGATGACACATAGTAAATTATGTTTGTGTGACTTTTGGCATAAAGATACACAATAAATAGCTTATATAACATGTGAATCCTGATATATTCAAATGATCGTCTTGTCAGCACTGAGAAAAAAACAACCATGAATATCTGGAAAATACAGCAGACGACAAAAGAAAATCATTTTAGATTGACTGTAAACTCAATCATAAGCAAAGACTGCATGGAACAGTCTTTACCATGGTTGACTGGTTTCTTTCTTCATTTTTTTCTTCTTTTTTTCTTACCTAGAATTACTTGCAGTTTTATTGAGAGAACCACATGATACAACTATGTATTAGAGAGTGACAAAAGTGAGGTTTTTTCTGGGTTTTTCTTTTTATAAACGTGCAGAAAGACAGAGAGATTGAAAAGAGAAAGATAACGGAATAGACACAGGGTGCAGAAAGGATTTACTCACAAGGAACACAATGTTTTTGTTTTTTAGGGATTTTAAAGAATAATTTTACATCAAGGGAACAGAGATGACCACTTTATGTAGAATTTTACATCATTTTTGCTGAAAATATGTTTTTCTAGTTTGAAATGATATTTTATGATATATATAAGTTGGTTGATATTTAATTCAGTAGAGTCGTATCTTGTTTTGTTAATGTATTTCTTGAATCATTTTAGATTGACTGTATTTAACTCTGTAAGCAAAGACTGTCTGTAGACTAAGCAAGATCAGCAACCTAAACAACCCTGCATGTAGACTAATGCTTAGTCTCTGAATATATATAATTTTGATAGTAACAAACAAGCCAATTTAATTTGAAAAGGAGCCCCAGGAAGACCAGAGGAAATCTAGACTTCCTTTATTTAGGGCTTTAGCACTGCAGATAGGGCTTGGCAGTAGGGAAAATAATGTGGTTCAGGGACTGTGAGACAGACTACCCTGCATGGAACAGCGGTTACCATGGTTGACTGTTTTTTCATTCTAATTGATCTCCTTGAATCATCTTTACTGTATCAGTAATTGCAGTCTGAGGTGTTCTATTTATGACTAATGGTTGTGTGACACATTTTGTGGGAGAAGGTCATATGTAGACCTGTTTGAAACAAATAAACCTCTGAAGTTAACTAGTATTAATATGTGCCGGTTATTACTGCCATTTGGTAAACTTTGAGCTAGAAACATTACCTAGAAGGTCAAATGTTGACCTGTTGCAAACAATTACACCTCTGAAGTTGATAAGTATTAATATGTGCCCATCATTACTGTCATTTGGTAAACTTTGAGCTAGAAGCATTAGAATAAAGTATTATTCAATATCTTTTTGTAAGCACCATTGTGGCCAGGAGAGTTCAAATAGGACCAGTATATTTCTCTGTGTGCAAAAGAATATTTGCTTTGGCTAGTCTTGTCACTCTGTCATTTTGCAAAATAGTGTGTGATTAACGTGAATGGTACTTCCAGATTTAATGTTTTTGACCTTTAGTAAGCTTATATTCTGGAATGTTTTTAGTCGTCAACTTTTACTCACAGAATTCCAATTTATCTTTAGATATGGCTGACCTGGTAGCCATGTTTGAAATGTCATGTTGTCTTTAAGATATTTTTGCTTGTGTGCTATTGGAATTTAATAAGCAGGAAGTATGCTATAATATTTGATAAAGTTACCAACTTGGCCTTTAAACAGCTCTGTTTTTCTCCTGTTGCTGCCATTTTCACCTCTCTCATGAGACAAAAAAGAATATAAAGCCAAAAATGTGTGTGAATGATAGTTATGGTGTCTTTAAAACAGCACAGAAATGCAATCAGACTTCAGACATTGCTATATTTCTCTTTGATTCTGGTGAGCTACAGAGCCAAGTTCTGTTGATATGGTTAATATGGTTGCAGATTTTGGGTCCCTTTTTGAGAATGCAAAATGAACTTGGTCTTTTATATGCTGACTTCTTTAGGCCCTGAAATCTCTAGAAAGGTCAATTTACACTTGTGTCGTAGGCACTTTGATGGGGTATGGGTTTTATCGGGAAATATTGACATGTTTGTATATTCTCTAAGTTAAGTTAAAGTTGTGTTATCTAAATCTAAATCACAGTGCTGACAATATACATGAAATATCAGCAGCTTATTATCATGACCATCAGCACAGCCATGTACAGATCAGCTGCCTGCGTGTAATTAACCCTAATTAACCTTAGAGTATGGTCGGCTGGCCAGGAAGTTTAACATTGTGGAGGAGGTCCTGGATACTGCAGGCTGACCATACATGCATCGTAATACGATACAGGGCAGCCTGACAGTCAGTATAGTATATAGACAATGAATTCTTAATGTATCGGGACTTGACCCTCGGACAGCGGCTAGGCAGGTGGGCTGACGATCGCCTCTGTGATGCTGCCTGGCCGTTGCTGCACTATCATGTAACTGCATATTTAGACGCCGAATAAAGTGTTGTGGACCCACTGATGGACTTCTGTATTTGAAGAGACAGATATCCCAAAACCTTTAACCAGCCCGGGATACTTGTCAGAAGTGTACGCAAAGTATATGACTTAAACTCCCTCTTGTCAGACTTGCATTTTTGTGGAAGCCTCAGTTGCTGAGTGTGTTAGATCGATCATTTGCAGTTGATAAGATGTGTCATTAGGCCCCAGGCGGGACTCAACCCCAAAATGTCCTAGAATCTGTACTTGAATCTGTACACTGTGACAGTGTAATCCCAAACGACATTTGTTGCATTTGACCACTCTCTGACACTCATTGTGTATTCATATATACAATAATGTGGTGGGGTAGCCTGATGGTTAAAGCGTCTGCTTGTCACGCTGAAGACCTGGGTTCGATTCCCCACATGGGTAAAATGTGTGAAGCCCACATGTGTCCCCCTCTGTGATATTGCTGTAATATTGCTAAAAGCAGTGTTGAACCATACTAAACATTGTTTGGTGACTGGACAGCAGTAACATGTGGTAGCGGATGTTTTCAGCTTATCAAACATATTCCTGTATGCAGAATGATTGTAGGATTTATTCACATACTCACTGCACAAACCAACTGTTACTGCTGCTTATTGTATACAGCATATACACCCTTTTGCAGTGTAGGAAAGATGTAGAAAATCTAGCCTGTCCACAGGACTGGCAGGTCAAATTTTTTACCAGTCCTGCCAAAATCTAGCCTGTCCTCCAAATATAAATAAAACACCTTCGGCAGTAAATATTCAAAAAGGTTATAATCATTATATATATGTCATTGGTTTGCTAAAATTTACCCGACATGAGGACGGACTAGATATCTTTTTAACCCGTCCTCCACAAAATTCAACCGTCTCGGACGTTGGGACGGGCTATCTTTCCTACACTGCCTTTTGACATCATAGGACATGGCCTTGTGGATAAGATCAGCAGCCCGATTTGGGAAAGTCATTGGTAAATGCACCATACTGAACAATGTTAAAATATGGCACTTCTTGTTACTCTGTCTGGCTCTCATCATTAAAGGGATTTAACTTATGATTGGTCATCTGGGAGTATACTGTATCTGGGGTATAATCGTGTTATACTTATCGGTAATTATCAGTCTGGCCTCATACTAATAGCCACTCATATATGTGCATGCATGTCACTGTGTCAGTGTGTGCAATAATTTTGTCCTATCTTGCAAGATATGTTGATTTCAAGGTTACTGTGTTAAATGTAACAGGGATATTTATGGGTGTTATTTGGCCCCATGTCTGCAACAATTGTCTGTAAAATTCACGAAATTGGAATTCCAACTTTGCTAAGTATCACCTTTGTTATGGTAATAATAAATTATATTCTTTTACTCTAGAAAGGTAACTTACATTGCACTGAAAACAGGACCAACGCAAAATATTAAGTTTAACTTTTTTACTTCGGTTTTTTTTTTTTCATAAAAATGTGTTTTGTTTTATGTTAAAAATAATTCTGCAACACATTTTATGAAATTATAAAATTTAGATCACTTGGGAATAGTGTTTAAATTAATTCATGATGAAGATCAAGACACTTTGCTTTGAAAACATTTTTTTTAAATACAGGTAGGTGAAGAAAGATAAGGCTAACCTGTATTTCTTTGAGTGTGCAAGGATAAGAGTAATTATTTTTTATCACATCAGATCATAAATGTCCACAACTGAAGGAAAAATTGAGATATGAAAACTTCTGATTATTTCTTGTTGAAATGAAAGTTCAGGGCAGTGGGGAAGGAGACTGGAAACAAAATAATATTAACAGCCTTAAGTTGCAGATAACCAAAAAGGAGTTACTAGGGTAGGTGCTGGCCTCTCTGGACATTATGGGCTGGTGGGGAAGCCTAGTGGTTAAAGCGTTCGCTATCACGTTGAAGACCCAGGTTCCATTCCCACATGGGTACAGGGGCGGTGGGGTAGCCTAATGGTTAAAGCTTCCGCTCGACATGCTGAAGACCCGGGTTCGATTCCCCACATGGGTGCAATGTGTGAAGCCCATTTCTGGTGTCCCCCACCGTGATATTGCTGGAATATTGCTAAAAGCGGCGTAAAACCATACTCACTCACTCACTCACATGGGTACAGTGTGTGAAGCCCATTTCTAGTGTCCCCTTGCCATAATATTGCTGGAATATTGCTAACAGCGATGTAAAACCATACTCACTGACTCACTGGACATTATGTGAACAGCTATAAGGTGTATAACAATAGATATTAAGAGACATTATATAAAGGTTTCTGTTTGATTATCTCCCAATTGACAGACACCCATTTGACAGACAGCTCAGTTTGTTTTGGACTATTCCATTATAATGTGTAGGTAACTGGTAGTAGATAATCTGTTCACTGAACTGTAAATGTTGTTGTTGTAAGGTGTCTGCGAACTGTTTGTCTGAGTAATGGGAGGACACCTTCTGTTTTACTTACAGGTAACTGGCATCGTTATCCTGGCTATTGGGATATGGACAAAGGTTGATCTGTACAAGTACCTGGAACTGTCTTCTATATACCAGCCAGAGGCACCCTATGTCCTGATTGGGGTCGGGGCAGTCATCGTCCTGGTTGGCTCCCTTGGGTGCTGCTGCACGGTCAAAGGAAACTCCTTCCTTCTGTATATGGTGAGTATATGGTCGTATACACCAGTCAGCATGCAGTCCTCTATGTCATTATCACGTTCAAAAGTGATTATAGTGTATTTAATTAGACCTGCTTAGAAGCTAATATTCAGTACCTTGTTTTGAAGCAAGTACTGGTAACAGTTCCGAAAATTGGAATTTATATTTTGTCCAACCATGTTCTAGTGGTCATTAGGCCTAAAAAAAAAAAGCTTGTGGTTCCGATTTCCCGCCGAGCCTAACCATTTTACTCACCACATTATAAATTAAATTTATTTTCTGACACATGAGTAATGTAAAAATATCTTGCAAAAAAACCCAAGAAACCTACCTACCTACCCTAGTTCTGAAATGTAGGAAATCGGAACCACAACATTTATTTTTTTGGGGCCTTACTTGTGGTGATGACTTGTAATAATAACAGGACCAATAAATAAGAATTTGTATAGTTTAGTTTACAATTTTCATTGAATGAAATGTTAAAATACTACTGAATTTAAGAAAAGGAGGACTATTGAGATAATTCCAAATTTTGAACAAAATTTCTATTCTTGGTCCTAGTTGACTGCCAAGGGCATTTAGTTTAGAAGCCAAGAGAAATTCTTGTTTTGCATTTGAAAATACATGTGTATTAATACACATTACATGTCATAAGTGTTACAATGGCCATGACAGGAATGGCAGGCCAATAGGTGAGTGGGGACGACCAATACATATTTGCCTGTGTAATATGGTAAATCTGCTCCAGTGTGTTGGATTTAGTCAGCTGCGTGTTCAGTTATATTAGGTAGAGTAGTTGATAAATAACAAGGTCACTGTGTGGATTTTCTGCTGTATGCCTTGGTATGGCTATTTCATTTACCAATATAACCTGCCCTGGGTAAATAATACAGACCTTGGATCTATGGAATACCATTATGGAGACACCCCTATTTATAATAAATAATAAAAGTCTCAGGGATTTATGACCGCCTCTGTGGTGTAGTGGTTAGAGGGGCCGGTGGGGTAGCCTAATGGTTAAAGCTTTGGCTCGTCACGCCAAAGACCCGGGTTTCGAATCCCCACATGGGCACAGTGTCTGAAGTCCATTTCTGGTGTCCCCTGCCGTGATGTTGTTGGAATATTGCTAAAAGCGGCGTAAAACCAAACTCAGTCAGTCAGTAGTGGTTAGAGCATCCGCATCCATCAGTACGATGGCATGCATCACACAAGTCAGCAGAGGAGAGCGGAAGGTCGCAGGTTTGATCCCCCGGCCGCGTCATACCAAAAGACGTTAAAATATGTTACTTGTTGTTCCCTGCCTGACACTCGGCATTAATGGGTACAAGGACTGGTCTGCTCAGTCAGTAAAATGTGTCTGAGTGGGGTATTCATGCTTAACTGCGGCATGGTATCTCAGTGAGCTAACACTTTAAAACCAGCTTAAGTCTGGGCTAGTACAAGCAGCCACACATACACACGCATGCACGTCATCATATGAGCAAAATATTCTAAGTATGATGTTACTTAAACCCCATTTCACCTCACCACAATAAGAAATTGACTGAAGTTCCTATTTTCTCAAATTAGGAGGTATTTTGTATTCATCATACAAAACATCTGATCACTAAATGTTCTGACTGTTACTACATGGATTGGGAAATTGGTAATTCCAACTTTGGAACATGCACCAACATCAGCCACAGACTTAGACCTGAGTATTGCTTTATTGGCAGGTCTAGATAAATTCCTGCCTCTGTTCATAATTTTGTGTGACATCTTGATTGTGGATTCCACCGTATGAACATTTTCGTGATATCTTTTTCAAAAATGACTGTTAGTTGTAATGTCCATGCTAAGAAAATAAGTGCACAAAAATTATAATCAGCTGATGAATAGGCTGTTGACTAATAATGAAAATAATAATACATTCATTTATAGAGCGCATAAAATCACAACATAAATGTGCTCTTTGGGCTAAAAGAAGCCGATAATTGTAATGGTAGCAGTGTAGAAACAAGCGGGTATTTAGTTGAGATTCAAAGAAAGAGAGACGGGAGGCAGATTTGAGATATTCTTGGAGATTATTCCATTTTGATGCTGCAGCGTAGGAGAATGTTCTTTTGCCAAAAGTTGAAGTTTTCACTCTCGGGATTGACAATGAACATTTATCTTGGGATCTTTGAGTCCTTTGTGGGCAATAAGCTGGAAGTTCTGTCAAGCAGTATGTTCTGTCAAGTAGATAGCAGACTAACCCAGTATTCTCTCATCCATACCAACCTGTCACACGTGAGAGGTATGTTTTAATGTAACAACTCTATAACTCTGTAACATCTGCAAGTCCCCTAAGCCTTTTTTTAACATATATCAAATTAATTGCCTGTCACAAAAACATGTGAGTCTACAGGCTGAAACATGTCTATAATCAAGATACCCACATTTCAGGTTGATATGATGTTTTGTCTGAGCTGACCTTTCTAGAGACAACAATATTTTCGTATTGGCAGCTGAAGCCACAGATTGTAAATTAAAATAGTTCTTGATATTGCTGGAATGTTGGAAGAATTTTCTTCATAATTATCACTAGGGCTGCGCAATATAGCCGGTTTACCGGTATTTACCGGTTCAGACATGAAATCGATACGTATTGCGATACCCGGATCGAAAACCGGTTTTTCGACATGCATTCGGAAAACTTCATAACACTCGGAAATCTTCGGATATTTCCGTTTTTCACACCGGAAATCAAGTTAAGTTCGGTTTGAAGTTGTGTTCTTAATTTTTGTTCAAGTGTTTCGCAATGTTTTGTTTCTGAATGTTATATATATATTTACTCATTATTGACCAGTGATCCCTGATATGTCCTGACCAGGTCAAGTTGCTGTCTAAAATATCAGGGCTTTTTTGAGAGTGGAGATACTAGCTCAAACTAGTAACCACTGTGTTGATGTTAAATTGTTCTTTTCCTTGTTTCCTTCATTTTAACATGATTAAAAGTTTTTATTAAAGCTTAATCAAGCATAGTGATTTTGCTTTATAAATCAAGCATTAACTCGATTATTAGTAATTTTGTATGAAAAAAATATTCTTGCAATATATTGCAATACGTATCGCAATATATGCTTTGGAATCGCAATATATCACAATATGAAAATTCTCTGCAATACCCACCCCTAATTATCACTGGTATTTTATAGTAATGTTACCGTTCACTTGCGTATTCGGTAAATCAGGATTCAGATTATAACATCCATTCAGAATTCTATTCGTTATTTACAAATGTCTTGTAAAATAGTGGAAAAAAACAAACTGGAGCTAGTCTTATAATTAACAAAATGTGATATCCAAAATGGTATACCGGTATATGTAAATGCTATAAAGTAACTGTCATTAGGCTATAACTTGGCAGCATTGTTGCGATGTGTTTTTTTAAATGTTTCATCATAAGCAAATACATGTTTAATTTATTAAACTTAAAGTATCCATGAAAAATATTTGCATTCATTACCCTATATTCGTGAAACATACATTTGTCTCATAGTGTATTCATTGCAGCCATAGTATTGTATGCTCTATGTTGATCCATGTGGCAGCGTGTATATAAACATTTAGCTTGTCAGATTGTGGGCCATTGTGACTATCACATGATTCCCAGTGATCTATGGTCTATGCCGGATCAACTAAACCTAGGTTAAATTCCATGTTCATCCAGACTATAGATTGTCACAACTTACTTGAACACCGAAGACGTAACCATGGTAAAAACTGCAATGTTTTAGGCCTTCATCCTGAATTATGCTGACACTTTGCTCTGACTCATAATGTTTAAAATGGTTTTAATATCACGCACTGACTCAAAACCATGAATTGTATTTTTAGAGATTCCGCAAGCTTTTAGCTTATTTCGTTAGGAGTTGGTCTGGCATGCATTTCTTTACTTATTTGTCTCGTGAGATTGGGGTATTGCTGTCCTTGGTTTGGAAATGAAACATCAAAGGCATGGTTTGAATTCTGGTTCGCACTGTTGAAAGTGGCATCAAACCCCGCTCACTCACTCACTCACACACTCATTCACTCTTTACTCTTACTCTCTTAACCAGTGATATAAGTGGAATAATCCTAAAAACAGCATTAAAACCATCTCACTCTCTTAACCAGTGATAAAACTTGAATAATCTTGAAAACAGCAGTAAACTCAACCCACTCACTCACTCTTAGCCAGTCATACAAATTGAATACTTTTTAAAACAGCATTAAAACACACTCACTCACTCACTCACTCAGTGACTTGTCTCTGTTGCAGTATTGTGGGTTTCTGTTCATCGTTTTCATCGTTGAACTCAGCGCAGGCATTGCACTCCTCGTGTACAGAAACAAGGTAAGTTAATGTCAGGGAAAATGTATCGAAGCAGGATAAGAGTATTCCCGATCTGCTGACCTACATCTTTAAGGGCCTGACTCCATGGGAAAGTCACATGTGACATTTTCAATTTCTGTATGTTTATATTAGTTACACGATATGCTTGAGTTGAAACATTTGCTGATAACTGATTCAGTATGCTTTATTTGCCAATAATATGCATTAGCATACATATTGACTCAGACACAGCATCTTCACATACGAAGTTGCATGCCTGGGGTTTTTGGTGGTTCTGCAATTCTTAATGATTGCGATCCTGCCAGAGACTTACCAGTTCCTAAGGTTTCAGAATCTGCTGAACATTGCTTTAAACAGCCAAGCCTCAACCACATTCATCGCGGCGTTTCACACCTGTGACTTTGAGCCGTGAAGATCTGGGTTAGAATTGGTCTTCAGCAACCCATGCTTGTCGTAAGAAGCGACTAAAGGGATCAGGTGGATAGGCTCACTAACTTGGTGGACACATGTTATTGTATCCCAATTGTATAGATCCATGATCATGCTGTTGATCACTGGATTGTCTAGTACAGACTTGATTATTTACAGACTGCTGCATATAGCTGGAATATTGCTGAGTGCAGCGTTATTTTACGGTTAAACAACTAACCAAATACTAAACTATGCAAACCAAACGAAACCAAATCAAACCTCATGATGGTGTCATGCATTGATATAGCTTAAATACCGGTACTGTTCATGTCCTGCTTACTCCAACAATGTTTATTTTCAATAGTCTTCTCAGAAATTCTTGTGGGAATACCACGTCTAATATTTTCAAAACTCCATTGTGTGTGAAACATAAACCTTCATAACACCATTGTCCTGTCTTCTGAATTACATTGTGTAACATTGTGTAACATTGTTCTGGTTCCACAGCCACACAACACAGCATTCACAGCAGTCTGTAAATATTTGACTGTGGGAGCGGTATATTGATAATACTGCCACGTTATTGATTAATCATTTTATACCATTCCCAGGCGTCTCAAACCTGAAATTGTGTTGGTAATTGTCCTATATCGACATGACAGATAGACTGTTTCTTTGTACTGGCCAAACTGAAATACATGGGTGAACAATGACAGCCAAATATGTTTGTGAATAGTTGCAATGGTATTCATAGAAATACTTCATGTTTACGTGATTTTATTGCCATAAATATATAGAAACCAGAATTTCAATGTAACAGCCTTGGTGTTGTGCAACCATACTTGTCATGAGAGGCAACTAACGGGATCGGGTGGTCAGGCTCACTGACTTGGTGCATGCAGGCTATTCATGTGTATTGTGTTGAGAAATGCTCATTATGTCAATCTTTGGATTGTCTGAACCAGACTGGAATATTTTGACTGGGCCTCATAGTTGGGATGTTACTTTGTTCAGAGTAGACAAACAGACAGAAAGGAATGTATGAATCAAAGAGGAGTAAAATTTTGTAATATGCTAAAAATATAGTGATAGTACAGTCATCCAGATGATCAGACCATTCAATATTCACGTAATTCTTTGCCAGTATTATTGTTTTGCAAAGATTCATTCAGTGTGCGTCCAATACGCTCAAATGTAGAGAATGGGCACAGAAAAAAAATCACTGTGTCGGACTCACAATATTGTTCATTGTACCCACAACACATCTATGACTTTGCTAAGTGTTTGGTTGTTTGTTCAGAGCAGTTACGTGCATCATTTCATCCATCAGTCCACATGATCAATGATTCATTCCAGGCTCTAAGGATATTATCAAAACATACAGTTATATACACTGTTACTTCGCAGGACCCACATATGGCCCGCTCGCTGGCATGATTGACACCTGTCATCAGTTCCCAATTGCACGGATCGATGCTCATGCTGTTGATCACTGGATTATGTGGTCCAGGCTTGATTATTTACAGACCATTATATAGCTGGAATATTGCTGATTCTGGCGTAAAACTAAACTCACTCACTCACTCGTATGGCCCCCAAGTACCCTTAAAAGTAATAACTGGGAGTTTCTAGGACACCCATGTCTGTGAGTCAAGGGAAAATCCTGTTCATTACTCTATGAGAACATGCTTACTATTATTTCTGATTCTAGGTGGTAACTTTCCTGTCATTTGAATGATAAATGACTGTGACAGAGTGCCTGCTTTTAACTGATAGTCGTCTATGATCCCAAACACACTTAATGTACAGTAATGATGTTTGTTCATCAACCAAGCAAGGCCATTAGAATATGTGGTATGTTTATACAATGTTTGGTGTCCTTGTCGTAACTCCAATCAAATATTGCACCAGCCAACCTTAATGACCGTAGGATCAATTGGAATTTCAAGGACTTTGTAAACAAAGACTAAATACTACACATCAGAAATCCTGGATATCAGACTCTGCTAATCAATAGATCACTCATGGTCAAGCTTATCGTTGGGAGCCAGTAGGCCAGACTGCCAAATAGACATATATTTTATTTGATTTGTATATATACACTTGTAATTTAACAGTATATAAAGCATTCTTTTTTATATTACATAGGTCATTCCTGATGGAATAATGGGAAATTAGACTGTTATTATTAATGGAACATATACATTGTTATATGAACTGAACTTCAGGGATGTAACAGGTGTTTGAAATATCAAAAAAATGTTTTAGCTAAAACCTTTTGTTAATATTCACTATACATGAAACATAAACTAGTAAACTACAAATAACATAAAACATCAAAAGACAGGTATTACATATATGTAAAATGCATGTTGAAACGGGTTTAAAAGCAAATTGTATTAGTCAGACAACTTACTTATCAAAGCATGCATCTCAACTTAGCACTGCTGCTGCCCTGTGTTTATGTTTAAGTATAGCTGAAACCGTCTGTTAATGCAGTAATTAATTAATATAGGGTAGATTATCAGCCCTTGATTGACATTGTAATCATCACAGTGGTCACAGGAGCCAGTAGTATATTTGTCTAGTTGTGCTGCTCTTAAATGTTGGCTGAGTGATTGCACCAATGAAGAACTACAAATGTGACTGCCCGGTAGTGTATTGAGCTATTTCCTACACTGCCTGGTGCATATGTACAATATCATCCCAGCTTGCAGGAGGATACAGATGTTAGCGACAGATACACAACTGGCTTCAGTGTCTGTAGTTAGTGTGGGTGGGAGAGGCTGTTGTACTTCATTGATTCGGTGTCTCCAGAGAATGGCTGTACATGGGGGAGGTGGAACTGAAATCAATTTTCTCCTCTGCATTGTCGTGTTAGGATCTAATAACAGAGGAATAAAGACTGCTTTCACATTCAGTGACTTGCTACGATTAAAAGACTTAGAAGATCTGACCTACAAAAAATGTCTTTCAATCAGATTGAATTTTGGTTGAATTCAGTGGCGTGGAACTATTTGCGTGAGTGAGTGAATATTGATTTATGATGCATCAGTGAATTTTCAGCTACATGCTTTGAACAAAGAACTAGAACTGAATGTATCAACAAGGACCAGTGAAGGGATGAATATTGAAATTTCAGGGCTCGATTTTAAGTTTTAGAACCAGTACTGGTGCAACCTGAAACTGCAAAAGCAATGTCATATTACACCAACATGCACTCAGTGCTCGTTAATATTTTGCGGTTCAAACAACACAGGTTACAGCTGGAAAACAGAATGGGGAGGAACTGGCTTGGAGCAGTGGCTCTGATGACTATTTGGGGATTGATTGAATGACTGTTAATGTTCATGTCATGAAATTTTATGAAGGAAGATAAAATGATTGTATAGGATCCAGATTAATTCTGTTATAATGATATTCTAAATCATCAATACCAATAGTCAAGCAATATATATATTTTTCACAGGTTTTCGTCTTGTGCAACAAAAGGTTGCACCAGGTGCAAGGTTTCATTTCCGCAATTTGAGCCCTGTAATATAACCAACAAGGGCCATATGTAGCAAACAAGACCTATACAGACCTATAGAAGTGTGTGATAGCTGATGTAAAGGTGTACTGGACTACTGGTGTTTATTATCCCGTATGTCATACCCATGATGATCCGGTTTACAATCGGTCTTCACTAACCCATGCTTGTCGCAAAAGGCGACTACTGGGATCGGGTGGTCAGGCTTGCTGACTTGGTTGACACATGTCATCTTATCCCAATTGCATGGATAGATGCTCATGCTGTTGATCACTGGGTTGTTTGGTCCAGACTCGATTATTTACAGACTGCTGCCATATGACTAGCATATTGCTGAGTGCGGCGTAAAACAACAATCCAACCAACTAGCAAATAAGAAGTGTAGTGCAGGTCTTGTGCATTGTGATGATGCTAGTTTTCTTGCATTGCACACTGCGAACTTCCATATAAGCACAGACACGTGACAAACATAAATGCCATAAAATATTCATGTGAAGGTAATTATTGAGTAAGACCCAGCAGTAATGCAACTTGGTGCTCAAGAATAAACCCTGAAACAGTTAGCCCAAGCGCTGATGATAGTTTTATAATTATCCCCCTCACTGGGATAGACTCAGCCACTGCTGTTTGTCTAAAATCAAGGCAGACTGTCAGCATGATCTATCGTTTTGTCCTGAAATGGGGGCAGTGGGATAGCCTAGTGGTTATAGCTTTGGCTTGTCACACCGAAGACCTGGTTTCCATTCCTCACATGGGTACAGTGTGTGAAGCCCATTTCTGGTGTCCTCCACCATGATATTGTTGGAATATTGCTAAAAGTGGCATAAAACCATACATACTCACTATGTCCTAAAATGTAGTTACACGGCTAGTGTGATAGTTCCACTTGACTTCATGGTTTTGACCAATGGTGTGTTCCCCCACCGTATAAATATAGCCTACAAGGAACCTACTATGTCTGTCAAAGCCTTTTACCTTGTAGAAACATGTCATGTAACCTGTTTATCTTAAAATAATGCCCAAATACAATAAGTTTGAAGGAAAACCAAGTTCTATGGAT